TGTGTAAAATGCTCATTACTAAAAGTCGAAGGCATCAATTTCATTCCTTCTCAGGGATTCAGAGGATGAGGGTGGAATGGGTCACCGTAGTCAGTTTGAGCGTTTCAGCTGGTGATGGGCTTAGACGCGTCGCTAACTCCATTTTCGTCAATCGCTGTGTCTTCCGGCACTCACTGAGAGATGGAAGGGGGTTGGAGCCGCGTCAAAACCCTCGCGCCGCTGACACGCCCCGATTGAGTTCAGTGGTAAAGACTGTACCCCATATTGGACGATTTGATCGACAAGTCACCTTACTGACGAAAATTTTGGTAATGGGAGCGATAGGGGCTACAGTAGTAAAACCTTGGGATGCACGGTGGTCATTTGGGTGCATATGGCTACTTTGCAATGAGCGAACGAAGCTGCCTCCGTTGAAGTCAGGGATTTCACCTTCCTCAATAAATCTGAAGGCAAAAAGTGCAGTGGGAAGAGGTGCAGTGCACAATCTTAGCGGGTCAATTCAACTTTCTTGGCTTTTTGTCGCATCGTCGTTCCCACCTAGGGCTCAGAGAATTTTGCTGCACCTCAAAACTGATTGTCTCGCTTTCAGCTAAATGTAATTTGAACTTCATCGACATGATTGTTGCGTTCGACCTCGTCAGCGCTAAATCCACCAATGTAAGTTGTTTCAGAGGGTAAAGGCAATGGTCACGATCGCTGTGGGCGGGCGGGTAGCCAACGTCATTGGTGGAAGGGGGCGTAAAAGTGGCTAAACGCCCTCTCGCAGCCCTTCCACCAATGAAGTTGGCAACAACCTCCAGTAATTATGCCCACTGCCTTTGAGGTAATTTTTTCTGGTTGGTTTACTTTGTCCATAATAGTGAGATTCCAGGTGACAAATTATGTGAACACGCTTCTAGCCCAGTTCAATACGATCTATACAGGTTAGTTTTTCTCTAGCTATTTTTTTGCTGCTTGATAAATCTTCGAAACACGACATAATTCACGCCCCAATTGCGATTGTACAGCGCTTATAAAGGCAAACGATCAGGTCAGTGAAGCGAGCCCCTCTGCCATTCCAGAAGGGGGGTTGTATGTCCCAAGGCTGTACTCATCTCACCGTTCAAAGCTGAGTCTTAAATGCGCTACGACCATCATCCCCTGACG